ATTATTTTTTTTTTTTGTTTGTATCTTCGTTTAACTGAAATCCAAGGCACTTTATTGATTTTTTTACCTTTATATTTATCGATTCGATTAGTGGTTGAACCGATTAGATTGATATTTAATTTATTAATAATATTAAACATATATTATATATAAATAGTTAATTCAATATTTAGCCAATTTAAAATACTTAAATACCTTAACTAACTAATAATAACTTATATATATCTACTATATTTAAATACTACTTGCTTATTTATATTAAAATATTTTCTAATATATTAAAATTGAACTTTAAAAAAAATTGAACCGGTTCAAACCGACTGATCGATTTTTTGTCGGTTGTGATAATTAAGGACTAAGATGATTGTACGATAATTTGTAATTAATTTATATAGGCTAGGGTTCATAGTGGATTTTTTGTCGCACCCAACCATAGTAGGGTTCATGGGTGGTGCAGCTACAGTGGTGAGCCTGCAGCAGCTCAAGGGCATATTAGGACTTGACCATTTTACCCATGCCACCGATGCTATTTCCATCTTGCGCTCCGTGTTTTCTCAATCCCATAAGGTAATTTCACATTCAATTCCCTCTTAATGATTAACCTCGCTCTAGTTTAATTAACTAATTAATTAATGCTTATTACCGGGTGATTTGCATGGATTAAAGAATAACAAAAAAAAATATATGCATTTTTATTTTTTTTAAAAAAAAATTGCATATGACAATAGTGATTAGTAGTAAATTAATGAATTGTTCCCAACTTTTCTATGAGACAAAAACTTAATTAATCAATGAATATAGTTATCTGTCTGAATAATAGTCAATTAATTGATGTTTTGATAACTGTTGGATTTATAACAAAACTATTCAAATATATCTCTTTGTCTCACTTTTTCGATTTCGATCTCAGTCATTCGGGAGAATCTTATTGTTAAATCAACACATATATAGAATCGAGTTTTTCGATCATGTATAAGCTCGAAAGAGAAATACCCTTTTTACCCTCTCAACCACCCCACACCATATGCAATGATTGCCAAATTTGACAAACTAAAATTCCTCAAAATTGAAAAAGTGGTCCAAAAATAATCACTTTGGTCCATCTCGATATCATAATTTTAGAATTTGGAACTTAAATCGTCTTTGTTATCACACATTGAGTCAATACTCACTAGACTTTTCAATTTTGATTTAATTAATTATCACTCGTGATCCCATTTTTTTATTTTTTTTTTTTAATTAAGTAATTGCATTCATATTTAATTTATTTTTACATAAAAAAAACATGTTGTAATTAATTTTTTTTTTTTCTCAATTTGAGTTTGCTAATTGTAATTTCTAATTTGCAGTGGAGATGGGAAAGTGCTGTGCTGGGATGTGTTTTCCTTTTCTACCTCCTAATTTCAAGATACTTTGTAAGTAATTAATTAGTCTAACAATAATAATAAGGGAGTGGGGGCCCAGATAGTATCTCGGCTCCCCCCAATTTCTTGTAATCATTTTGATTCCATAATAATAATAATAATAATAATAAAAAAAATAATAATAATAATAAAAAAAAATATAATAATAATAATAATAATAATAATAATAATAATAATAATAATAATAAATAATAATAATAATAATAATAAAATCTCCAATCTTTATATATTCAATTATATTTTGTCTCACATTATTATGACATTTGTTTGCTACTTGCTAGTCATGTGTGATATAATGGAACCTTTTCCACTTGCAAGAATTAATGATAAAAGCAATCAATTATGATCCTAATTGACCTCTAATTAACTAATAACTTAGCTTAATTAATTAATTAATTTTGTAATATTGCAGAGCAAAAAGAAGCCAAGGCTATTCTGGATATCAGCCATAGCTCCATTAACATCTGTGATTTTGGGCAGTATTCTGGTGTATCTCACCCATGCTGAGAAACATGGAGTCCCAGTGGTGAGCCCATTATCATCTTAATCATAGTCCAAAAATAAAGGACTTTT